ACCGCTGCCCCACACCACAGTATGCAATTTTATTATATGAACTTATACGATTTTTTATGATGCGATTCTTATAAAAATCCCACTATTAGATAAACGCAGTGCCGAAGCTAAAGACTACGATGACTACTACTCCTACTATGATTACTATGATTACGATGACTATTACTACTCCTACTATGATTACGATGACTATTACTACTCTGATTACTACGATTACGATGATTACTACTACTCCTACTACTCTTACGATGATTATGACGACTACTACTACAAAAAATCATCCTACAAACGAAGTGCAATGCCAGCTCGTACGTAATTTTTCTTTTTATAGATTTGTTGGTTCGACTTTATTAATGACTTGTTTCTTTCAACTTATTAGATAAACGTGCTGCTAAATCCGCTCCACATAACAGTATGTAACTTTCTATTTATAAATTTGTTGGTACGACTTTTTAAATGATTGTTTCTTTCAATTTATTAGACAAGCGTGCTGCAAAACCTGCTGCAAAACACGAATGTAAGAATTGTCATTTTTCGTGCTTTTTTAAGATTCCGTCTCATTTATTTCCTTTTTTTTAGAAACTCGGTGTCGTCTTTAATTTAATCGTCACTTTGAATCTCAAGTCCAAGGATGTAAATAATTTTTTAAAGCCCTTTTTCATTATATAGAACTCACATAGAATTCATTTTGCAAAACAAATGTATATAGTCATTTTGCAATTATCATTTTTTTTTGTGAATGTGTAGCCACCAAAAAGTCATTTTTTGCTCTTTGCCCTTTATTCCCTTATACAAAATGTACTAGTCATTATTTTATATGATTGCTTTGTACAGTTGTCCTCCCATATAATCACCTCCTATATAATCACAAACTCTACATAATCACATCATTTTAATATACAATATTTTTTATTATTAAATAGCCTTCTATATAATCACATTGAGCTTCATTTTTATTTATTTTTATAGATTTTTTAAATAATAAAATCCCTTTATATAGTCACATTTGAAATAAAAATCTTGTTTTATAAAAGTTAGTTTGAAATTTAAATTTACTTTAAAATTGATCTAAGTAGATTTCGAATCTTAAAGTTCGAAAATTCACCTATGTATGTACAATAGAAATATATGCCATTGTCACGGTTTAAATATTAAATCTGTGACTTTGATATGGCTTGGTAATACTAAAAGCCCGAATGACTTGAGCCACAAGAATATTATGAGGCTCCTAGATGGCGATAGAGGCTTAATAACATAGACTAACTCTGGTGAATGGTTGTTTATCTAACATACAATAAGTATGATGGAAGATAAACCCGAAATTGTTGGCACCCAATTGTTGGTATGCGTAGCAACAATTGTTATTAACCAAGGCTGTGGACAATTGTTCACGGCCTGCGTACAACGCTACTTCACAGTGTTGATAGTACAAAGAGAGCTTAGAAGATTGGGATTTAAAGATAGCGCAGTAACCCTTGATAGAGTTTATAATAAGAATCGGATTCTCACATGTATTAAAGTTATGTATTATTTTATTAGTTTAGTTTTATTCTTTTATTATTGTATTTCTTTATTATTATTATTATTATCTTGCATTTCTTATTTTATCATTACATAATAAATTACCCCGATAATTAAAGTTTGGTCTGTTTAAGTGATAACCCGACTCAGTTTAAGAGTTTCGTGACATCACATCACGTGTACAAGAGTTATAAATCTCGAACCAAGTTAACCATTAGAGCTAAACTGGATTAACATCCGCAATTGCTCTCCCAACCGATGTTAACACTATAGTAAGACAGAATGTCATATTAGGCTAACATAAATGTATGCCTGGCATTAAAGAACATTAATTAATAGTTGCTATTTACTACGTACACATAATTTATCTTCCTTATTGGTACGGTAAAAGTCAATACGTAGAAATTAGTTATTATGCTACAAAAAATTAATTAGATTGCATATGAAAAATAAAAATGAAATATAAATTGCTACGCCAGTAAGAAAGGCAAGGGTAAGTCATATGGATGTTGTGTGTCAGTAGACCGCCACTTTTCCAAAACCAAATCTTGTGTAATTTTGATCATATAAATGATGCTAGTTAAAATTTCATTGAATCTAATATAAAATTATAGCTTCGAAATATTAAAGATTCAAAAATCCGAAAGTCCATCAGATTTTCTAGTTTGTAAATGGGTAATCATTGTGATCTACTAGCCAAAATCAGATTCTCATAGTACATACAAGTTTTATTGATTTTTAAATGACTATTCTTACCGTTATTGAAGAATTAATTGTCAATTAGGTAAATGATAATCATCTTTACCGTTACAAGCAAAAACCTGCAAAATTAGATATTGAACCCGAAGCTTATTTTCCTGCATGTATCGTGTGAATTTGAGGTCCAAGGATCTAATTGCCCCTGCATAAATCAGTAAGATGCTTATTGCATAACGATAATAAGATTTGACTACAGAAAGTAAAACCGTGTTAGAAACCAGGCGCTTTTAAATTGAGTGTCAGTAAAGTAATACTAAGTCTTTTGAAAGAGCCTTACCTTATGTACTGTATATGGATAATGCCAAATATAAAAAATTTGTAAAAAACATAATAAGTTATTTTACTTTAAATATAAAAGCATCCATTTAATAAAGTGCTATTAAGTTCAGATGCTTTTTAATTTGCTAAATGATTATATTTAGTCCTACTCACAATATGTCTAACAATTTGCCACTAAAAAGACCAAGAACGGCTGTTAGTGAATCTTTAAAACATGAAATATGCGAGTATAGTCAAAAAAATCCTAATGAAAAACAAGCAGATATTGCTAAACACTTCAATTCCAAAGATTCTAGTTTAAACTTAGATCGAACTACAATATCTAAAATTTTAAAAGATAAATCAAGATGGTTAGGTTAGCCATCACGAATAATCAATTAAGTTCTACAATTTTTCGGCATAAACCTGTAAAATATCCTTTATTGGATCAAGCGATGAGCCTATAGATTGAACAAGTTACTAATGATGATATAATTGTAACAGAATTAATAATTAAAGAAAAAGTTGCTGATTTCGCAAAAGCTTTGAATTTAGAGGATGACGCTTTAAAATTTTCAAATGGATGGATTCATAAATTTAAACACCATAATAATCTTTGAGTTTTCGGCTACATGGGGAAGCAAAAGGTGCACTATTGTCTTCCCTTTCAGAGTATAGGCAAAAATTACATGAATTAATCAGGAAATATACCTTGAATAATGTATTTAATGTGGATGAAACTGGCTTTTTTTTCTGTATGTCACCAGACCAAACACTTGCGTCTCAATCAAGACCTGGATTTAAAAAAGTTAGTCGATAATAAATTATAATTAAAATTTAGCCAGCATTAATGATCATAATTTAGCAATTGCTGCATTTATCGTTAAGAATCTTAATGATTATAATTTAGCAATTGCTAAATTGATCATTAAGAATCTTAACGATTATAATTTAGCAATTGCTGAATTGATCGTTAAGAATCTTAACGATCATAATTTAGCAATTGTTGAATTGATCATTAAGAATCTTAACGATCATGATTTAGCAATTGGTAAATTGATCATTAAGAATCTTAATGATCATAATTTAGCAATTGATGAATTGATCATTAAGAATCTTAATGATCAATTCAGCAATTGCTAAATTATAATCAATTTACCAATTGCTAAATCATGATCATTAAGATTCTTAATGATCAATTCAGCAATTGCTAAATTATGATCGTTAAGATTCTTAACGATCAATTCAGCAATTGCTAAATTATGATCGTTAAAATTTTTAATAATTAATTTAGCAATTGCTAAATTATGATCATTAAGATTCTTAACGATCAATTCAGCAATTGCTAAATAGTAATTTTCTAATAGTACCTGGGATAATCTCAGTTGATTTTCACTTTTCCAAAATCAACCTTTCCCCAAATACCATTTTCACAACCACATAATTCTTTTTTTTAACAAGACATATTTCTGATAGTATATTTTACTGATAGAAATTACTGAATTTTTATTTTCAAATAGCCTGAATTTCTGAAAAATTTTATTTAACAGACTTTTTCATTATATTAGCATATTGGTAAAACAGATATTTATCTTTTTAATATTCACTAGCAGATAAATAACTTACTAGTAAAATTTATTATTAATTAAATGATATTTTAGTAAAATGAGACTTTCAGAATTATGTCTTGTTAATAAAATGGGATGTTAGTACTATGACTTCGGTGAAATGGTATTTTAGTAAAATTGATTTCGGGAAGTTAATCTGTAACCCTGAAAAAATATTTAAGATTAGAGTGAGATTATTTTAGGTGTGATTCTCTCGATCATTATGCCAAGATTATGGTTAATGAATAATATTTTGATCCATATGTGAATAAGTGGAAACTTTATTTCTGCTAATTCTAATGGATTAAAAAATTATTATTATTTATATTTGTAATAATCATTTGTTTTTTATATGATAATTAGGATTGTTCACGTATCACTATTATGTTAGCATACAATGCAAATAGAACTAAAAAATTAAATCCATTAGTAATCAGATCTTCAATTTCTCCTCGTACACTTTATCATATTAATTACAATACTTTACCTGTTATTTATTGAGCAAATTTCCGAGCATAAATGCGAAATGATATTTTTTCTTAGTGGTTAAAGCATTTGGATTAAAGATTTCGCATTCAGAATCGCCAAGTCTTGTTATTAGTAGATAATGCCTCTTCACATTTTCACAAACTATCTAATATAGAAGAATCATGTGAATTAGATAAGTCAAATTCTAATTCAGATGAAGAATTGTCTGATAATAATTTAGAACCAGAAATATCAACTACTTTACGTGGGAATCGTCAAGGTCGTGGGCGCCCAAGATTAAACAAAACCAATAATCGTAGTAGCCGTGGTAGCCATGGTAGTCACAGTATTGGTGGTAGTATAGGCCATTATGGCAGTGGTTATGGCCATCTGCATACTATATCTGATTATTCGAATATACAATTAACTAATATCAAGCTTGAATTTTTGCTAAAAAACACAACTTCTCACCACCAGACTATGGCTGCGGGGTTATTAAAAGCTTCAAGTCTAAATATAAGCAAAAAAATATTAAACATATATTAATACAGTTTGAAAAAAATAAAGATTTAACAAAGTAAAAAAATTCAATTGTGCCATACAAAATTAATTAATTAGCTCTCATTAACTTGATAATCACAGGTTGAATCAATGAATATCAGGTGCATACCGGGAGATAAGTTTTCTGTTATGTACCTGATAGTCTGTCAAATAACTGCTGAATAAGGCAGACTATCAGGTACATAACAGGAGACTTGTCTCCTGGTATGCACTCGAAATTCATTGTTGGGTCCATATTATTTCACTGACAATCACTTTATAAATGCTATATTTTACCAACAATTATTCATCAACAAGTTCATTTTACTGACAGTCCATTTCACCAAAGATTATTTCCTGACAAGTTTTTTTTTGTAAATTATACTAATTTTAACTCTAATTCTAACCTAACCCTGATATTATTGACCAAAATTACTTTGCCTGTAAAATGAGCTTCGGTGAAATAAACTGTCAGTGAAATAAACTTATTAGTAAGTAATTTCAGTGAAATGTGGTGTCTACGAAGTAACTATCGGTGAGTTGGCAGAATCTATTTTTAAAATGCAAATATTATAAGAAACAACTAATTAAAACTAATTTTGTATGGTTTTATCAATTTAAAGTTTTTACTGCATTACTAATTCAATGAATTTTTTGTTTAGAAAAAAAATAAATATTAAAGATGCTATCTATTATATATCTGAGTCTTGGGACGCAATTGATGATCAAATAATTGTTAATTATTAGAAGAAGACCAGAATTTTGTCATTTGTTTCTTATAAAGAAATTGATACCGCTGTTAATAATCAAGACGCGTTATTAGAGCAGCAACAACAAGACATTAATGCATTGGTGGTAGATTTGACCTCTCGAGATCTGGATCCAGAAATTGAGCACCAACTAAACACATATTTAGATCTTAATAGTTTGCCTATTTTAACTGAGAAAAGGCTTGAAGATTTTGAAATTATCGAAATTATTCTGGATAAAGCAAATCAAGTTGAAAATGGGGATCCTGATGATATGGGCTGAGTGCTGGAGAAAGGAACGAAAATGACAATTTTTCAAAATTTTTTTTTTGATCCTAACTTATTCAAAATCGACTTGGGAACATTTTTACCTTATAAAAGAAGTGTTGGTATTTTAATAAAATTTTATGTTATACAGTGCGCGACACTTAAAGACTACATTTGTCTCATTTTTAAAATTTAAAATTTAAAACTTTAATTTGTTTTAAAA